TTCTGTTTGCAGGAAGGAGTGGTTAAAAAATGCATAATCTAGATTTCTTTAAGATGAAACTAATCTTAAAACATCCGTTTCTGGAGCACACAGTGTATTACGGTGTAAATGGATATTTGGTCCATGATCAGATCAGAGTTGGTTCAAAATACAGGATTGATAATATAATGACATCCTGAAATGAGTGCAGTTGGATGTCAAGCCTCCCACCATCAAGAGTTTCATTCTACAAAGCTATTTGTACTGTCCTGCATTAATGCAGAAGAAGCCTGAAAGAGATTTCTGGACTGTTAGTGGCTACTTTTCGAAGTGAGTGAGATATGATAAAAATGAGAAGGAAAAAAAAGTTGATTACTCATGTGGTTTTGGTGTGTTTTTTTCCCTCGAGGTGAGTTAAAGAGCTTGGATTCTATTCAATGCTTCCATTATTGAATTTGATCATAGACTAGAAATTGTTTATGAGATACACTGGCAACACAAAATGGGCAGGGATGTTAGGTAGTTTGGAGTACAGGAATAAAATTCTGGATAATCTAGATGTGTTGGAGATGCACAGTAAAAATAAGATGAAATTTATTCTTGGCAGACTGTTATCATTAGGGATAAAACAGCTCCCCAGTGAGAACAAGCTGAGAGAGCTGGGGCTGTTTAGCCTGGAAAAGAGAAGGCTCTGGGGAGACCTTATAACAGCCTTTCAGTATCTAAAAGAGGGCTGTAAGAAAGAAGGGAACAGACTGTGTAGGCAGGGTCTTTTATGGTAGTACAAGGGGAAATGGTTTCAAAGTGAAAGAGGGGCAGTTTAGATTGGATAAAAGAAAGAAGTTTTCTACAGTAAGGGTGGTGAGATACTGGAGCTGGTTGCCCAGAGAGGTCGTGGAAGCTGTGTCCCTGCAGACATTCAGGGTCAGGCTGGATGGGGCTCTGAGCACCTGATTGACCTGTGGATGTCCCTTTTCATTCCAGGAGAGTTGGACTGGGTGACCTTTTAGGGTCCTGGAACGATTCTGTGATAATAAACTGATATAAATGCATGGTAGAAAACAACTGGGTAGGAGGTAGTTTAAGCTGTACAGTAAATGAGGTATTGGAATAGGTTGCTACAGAAGGGGGTCAGCAGCACAAGTGGAAGTCTCCAGATGTTCTTCAAGCAAACATTTGTAGTGAAGGATATGAAGACATTCAGCCTGCCTTAAGGCATGTAGGTGGATTAGGTGGTGCTTTGAGATTGGTTCTTCTTAACCTTTTGATGTCACTACTTTGTGTTTTCTCAATCACATAATAGAAAAAGCTGGAATTACCAAATCAGAAGTGGCACAAATAAAGACACTGCAGTACTGTTTGAAAATTCATTTTTCCCAAGCTTCTTACAAATATAAGTGTTTTAACTAGCTATAATTAGTTTCCCTGGAATATGTTCCTTTCTGTCTTGTAAACATTTGCATTCCATAAACTTGGGATAAAAATATAGGAACTGAGTTATAACTTGATTTGTTTGTTTCTGAAACTGGTAAGTAAACTAAGGTACTCATGTACAAAAAGAACTTACCTTGATTAACTTTGATTCCTACGAACAATTGATATTAATTTATAAAGAATGTGTAATACAAAGTACAGTTTGTCCCTTGTAAGATATTGCTAGAATTGGGATAAAACTTTCAATTGAGTTGCTTTATGACTTGAAAGTCCCAGGCCTTATCTCTTCCCTTGTTCACTGAAAATGTTTTGCATCATGAAAGTTACTGCAAACATTTATCATGTGCAGAACAGTTTTCCATTCTAGCAAGGTGTATAGTCAATAGGTGTACAGACGTTAGGCTAAGTAGGATTATCACGGTGGAAAGATAATAAATGGAAAATGTTCATTGATGTTGTAGGCTCACCATAAACTCCACGAGGAGCAATCTCCAGAAAGAGATCCTTCCTCAGTGGCAGTCAGCCCTTAAATGGGAGCTGGGAGAGGTGCAGCCAGGCTCCACCCCTTCCAGTAGCACCAGTGAATTGCCTTCGCCTGTGCTCCTGTGGCTGGCTCAGTGCTCGCCTCAGGTGATCAATCAGAGGGTTCAGGCTGTGATCAGCAGTTCCCATACATAGGATTTGCCATGTATCTTATCATTATGATACAAAAATGCCAAGTTTTTTGCACTATGTGGAATGAGATTGTTTCTTTCTTCAAAATACCCTCAACAAATTAAATAACATTTGTTACATCTTGTGCTAGAATTGTTGTGCTGCTGGAAATTAGTTTTCCTTATCAACGTTTCTATAAAAGTTATTTTAGAAGATATTTTTGTTAGAAAAAAGCTAAGTAATTCATCTAATGTATGTACAGTCGTATGAGCATTAAGTCCTTAAGCAGCACTTGGAAAAATATATCTGTATCAGTCTTGTAGATTGTTTTCTGTTTTTTACCAAAAATTAGTATACCCATGCCTTTCTTTATACGTTTTCTAATATCACTTGGAATGTTGGCAAAAAGATAAAGCTTATAGATATGTAAAAATATTGTACCTCAAGTTATGTTTTGTTTATTGTGTTTTAGATAGATTTTGTTTTTGAAAACTTTGTCATTATTTTGTGTCAAAGTGATTGTAGTCTGCGTAACTCTCACTAATATAAAGCTAGGTTGAAGTCAGATTTGGAATGTTTATAAACGGGTATCTGTAGGAGTTGCTTTGTGTGTCACAAAACTGCTTTCTTCTTGAGCAGAGATGAAGGGTATGGAGGTTGTTGTTATGGTGAATTTTACAAGGTCAGTGTCCCTCTGGCATGCATATGTGAAACACTGTATATGACTCTGTTTTTTGGGTTAGGTGAGAAAAACACAGTTCAGCCTTATGACCAAGAGCAAGTTTCAGTTTAACCTCCGTGGATTACTTACAGTTCATTCTTACAAATACTGTATGCCCTAAGAATCATATTTAGTTGTCATAGAAGATACCCAGTCATTTCTCCCCATCCCTCCCTACTTCTTTCTCTGTCGCGTTCTAATTGTGTAAAAAACATTGCTCTTGTTTTAAACATTATGTTTCTAGTAACTTTTGATTACACCTGACATTGATACTTACTTTGATTTCTCGTACATAAAATAAATGTAAAAGTGGTATTTGCAGGATAGAAATAGAAATGATAATGATGTGTTGTTTGGCAACATGAAGTTGTGCATTTTTTCTTTTAGTCATTTAACACATTACACATGATGTACCATGAGGCTACGGCTTGCCACGTGACTGGAGACCTGGTAGAACTTCTGTCTATATTCCTTTCAGTTCTTAAATCGACACGTCCGTATCTTCAAAGAAAAGGTTTGGTTACAACTCCTCAAAGGTTTATGTTTTTTGTCTACTAATTAGTTTTTGTGACCCAAAACCTCATATTCTATCTTGCTCAATATTTGTATTTAAATTTAAACTTTCCATACATGTGATTACTAGATTGTTTCTTATTAAATTACTGTGTACATAATCTGAAACTAGATTTAGTTTGAGATTTATTAGATTTCTAGAATGAGAAAAAGTAACGTTAGAAGAAAAAAGGCAAATTCTTCAGCAGTAAAATTCCATACTTGATTTATAGATCTCTCATGAAATTAAATTAGCAGATTTCTGTGTTTTTTTGCATTCACAGATGTGAAGCAAGCTCTCATTCAGTGGCAGGAGCGAATTGAATTTGCCCATAAACTTTTAACTTTGCTAAATTCCTACAGTCCTCCGGAACTTAGAAATGCTTGTATTGGTAAGTCATAATATTATGAATGCAGTTAAGGAGAACCTGCTTTATGTAGTTACCTGATTTGAAATTTAAATTCTATTTTTGCAAGAGCACATGCTTACTAGATAATCTATGGATTTGAATTCTTGATATTATTGTTGACAATGTATCATTGTTGCCATCATTCCAATAATAAATAATTCTGTTTTCATTAGGCTGCAGTTAATATTCATTGCTAGGTGTGCAGACTGTGCACAGAAAGTCATTGTCCATCTTGAGAGGCAAATTTGCAAACCTGACTTAGTAAAAGGATTAAGGAATAACTCAATAACTCAAGTATTAAGTCAGTTCAGAATCAGATCCCAGATCTTTCATTAAAATTCTGATACTAACTTAAAATCTCAAAGGGGAACGTGCTGACCAAGTTCATCTGCATTACAACTTTAGCATCTACCTTTATGATCCATTTTCTGCAAAGTATAATATAAATAAAGTTTAAGAACTTGTAGCAGTGAATGGATTAGTTTTCTAAAATTGTATGCATAGATGTTGTATGTAATGTGTCTGGTTTGTGCTACAAGGCCTATTCCAGAAGCTTTTTTGGAAACAGATTTTCAAAATAAATTTTAATGGATGCAGTCTGCATTTTTTGGCATGCTAATGATGGCCCAGAACCTTGTCCACATTAAACTTTATTTGTGTGATCTGCATGCATTTTCCCATTATTTTGAGTGCCTTTCTAATTGTCCTTCTGACTGCTGCTGGTTACATTTTCCAGGTATCAAACCTGATATGTTAAAGAAGAAGGAAAGAGGGTAATTTTATTGAGCTTCTACTTTCTGCAAGCTGGCACCCCTCTCATTGGTTGTACATTCACTGTTGAGCAGGTTTTTCTACAGTTGGCAGAGGTGAAGGGAGTCCTGACTAATTATTCAGGTCTATTCACTTCGCGTGTTGTTCACAGTAAAGCTACCTCCACAGTGCACACTAGCAAAAGAGAGATGAAAGAGTGAAAATGCATGAGCCATAAGTTGAACTGTTTTCTGCTAAGAAATAACAATATATAATAGAAAAAACCTTTTTGTTTGTAGATGTCCTCAAGGAGCTTGTACTTTTAAGTCCTCATGATTTCCTACATACTCTGGTTCCATTTCTACAGCACAATCATTGTACATACCACCACAGTAATATCCCAAGTACGTATTTCAGTGATTGTATTTTGAAGTTCTGTTAATCTGTTATTACTCTGTCATGTTTCTCATTGATGTTAGATACTGACCTTTTCATATCTATTTTATCCTACCTTGTACTACAGTGTCTCTTGGACCTTACTTTCCATGTCGTGAAAACTTGAAATTAATAGGGGGAAAAAGCAATATTCGTCCTCCACGTCCCGAGCTCAATATGTGCCTTCTGCCTACTATGGTAGAAGCCAGCAAGGTACGTAAGCATGGTCTTTATTCTATTTTCAGTGATTTTTCCTTTCTATAAAAAGTATGGTAAGAATCCATTAGCGTATTATTTTCATTTTCTTTGTAAACGAAGCATAATTCTTCTTCAAGATGTGTTGTCCTCATATACTCCATTCTAGATGTGCACTCCAGAAACACCATTTTCCTGCCTTTGGTGATACACAGCTTCATTATTCCAGATACGATAAGAGTTGAAACCTTGTATTCAAGGTAAAAACTACCAAATGAAAAGCTACCAAAAAAAAAAAAAAAAAAAAAAGCCAAAAAAAGCCCATATTTGATAGTTTTCCAGTCTGTTTGTAGCATTTATAAAGAAAATTCAGGAACAGCCCAGGCATTGGTCCAGATGGGTTTGAAACCATGTTAAGGTTTATTAACAGTTAAGTAGATCCTCCACATTTCATTAAGGGTCCATTCCAAGAGAACTGAAGCACAATCTACTTATTGTTTGGGTAAAATACCAGTACTTGACATACATAGGGCAGTTTTATAGTGCTCTGGATCTTTTCCTTTCTACTTTTCCTTCTGTGGGCTTCCCTTATGGGATGCCAGCTCTGGTGGGGTGACATCACAGTCACTTGCCATGTCCCGATATTACAGTTGAACAATGATGGGATTCAGCTTACCAAACTTTGACTATCTAAAGATTGTTGATCCTGTGGCTAATGGAGAATTGCACCATCAGGAGGCTGATCCTTCATGTATTAGGCAGCTGAGCCTGGGCAGCAGAGCATATTCAAATGAGTAGATTTTAGATAGCTAAAGTCAGGTAAGATGAATCCCACCCTTAAATGAATATGTATGGACAACCATTTGAAGAAGGAAAGCTGGTTACTCGCTGTAAGGTAACCGTAGTTCTTCAAGATGCTTTGTCCACACAGATTGTGATCTTCCTCCTGTGCTAATGCAGAGCCCTAGGGGAATTCTTACCCGTGAAGGATTGAGTGGTGGTTGAAGCCGCCATACCCCTTATGCCCTCAGGTACAGTGGTCGCAAGGACACACTGAGTGCAGGCACTGCCCCAGTGGACACTGCTATTCAGAAAGAATCCAGTCTCCTGCACATGGGGTGTGTGTGCACGTAGATGGGAATCTGTGTGGGCAACACATTTCGAAGAAGCACGGTTACTGTAGGGTAAGTAACCCTTCTTTTTTAAAGCTTTCAAAATGATGCTTTGTGTATTTGCGCACCATCAAATTTACTGTATGTTTTTTTAAAAAAAGGCATAGAACAGGAAATTACTCATGTTTTTCCATCTCATATCCAGCAGCAGTGGATACAACAGAAAATAATGTAAATATTTGAACTGAAAAGTCATATGACACAGTATTTCACAAGTTGTACTTAATCCATATACCGTAAGAACTGGAAGGTTTGTGAGCCTCTAGAACCCCATCGCAATTATGTTTTACCTGTTGGTTTTTTGTTGCATGCTATTTTTAATTTGTTCGTTTTGTAAAAGATGGCATTTTCTTTGCTTAAATGTTTGAGATTTCCTTTCGGCTATCTGGCCTACAGAAGCCCATTTTGAGTACATATATCCAAAATGTATTAAATACTAGCATACAAAGCCCTTGGCACGTTTACCATTCGGTTTGGGATATTCCTGAAAACACTGCTTTGAGAGCTTGTGAAGCTTCATCTTGAGAAAATTCTGACTTCTGCACATAGTAACTGACAAATTATGATTTGCAAAGTAGTAGTGTATATATTTAGGTATCTGGATATGGTATGAAATTACTGTATTCTCATTCTCTTCAAGGTAAGGTATTCATGCAGCTTCACATCTTCTCAGTCAGTTTATTCAGAATCCTACATTTTTACTGCCAGGGAACATTATGTGCCATCCCTGTGCCATTCTCGACGTTGTGCTTAACAAGGACACAGTGGTGAGACACATCTGGACTGAGTGAGACTTGGAAATCCCCCTGCTGTATTCGATGACATGTTTTAGGGCAAGAAGTGCAGGGAAATCAGGCTAGGTGCTTGGAAAATCTGGTAGTGGTTGAGCTGCTTACGTAGTTTAAATGAAGTTCTCTTAAATCTCCAGGGAAAAGATGATGTTTATGATCGTATGCTGCTAGACTACTTCTTTTCTTATCATCAGTTCATCCATCTACTGTGCCGAGTTGCAATCAGCTGTGAAAAGTTTACTGAAACATTAGTTAAAATGAGTAAGTATGAAAGTTAAACAGCTTAAGGATGTTGGTTTTTTTAATTGTGATAATAGTGAGCACTTCTCCAGCAAGTTTTGTGTTCAGTATTCTTAAGAAGTAGCTGCACTTGCGGAACTTGCTGTATTAATTACTGTGGAAATCAGTTTCCCATAATCTACCAAACAGTATAATGCAGTACATTCTTACCCACATGACTTTTATGCTTCAGGCTTCTGCAGAATGGACATGTGACAGTCAGTGAGAATTCATTCTACTTGTAAATAGGTTTCACACAGAGCTTTGTGTCAGCTCCAAAATCTTCATCACCTCTGCCAGACAGTGTAATTTCTGGCACTTATTTTGTCTTCTCAGGAGCATGTGAGACCATTTATCCTGTCACTGACAGCGTTGGTTCTGTAGTAGAACGTGGGTTTGTTTATCTTACTCATTTTGGGAGCCCATCACAACAGTTAACCCAAATTAACAACCATCCAGTCATGTCATTTGTACCTGAAAACATAGATGTTGTTTAAGCTCCGCAACTAAGTTTTACCACTGTGTGGGATTTTTTCCTATCACAGTATAAACCTAGTCTTTAACATGTGTTACCAAAGGTGTTGCTGGCTTTATCTGTCTGAATTGCTCCAAGCATTCTGCCTGCATCACTGCAGAAGAGCATCCTGCCATGAACTGCCCATTAGGTGCATGTGTTACTTTGAAGGCACATCATGGTGCGTGTTTTGTTATCTTTTTCCCACCCATGACCCCAAGATGGGCTCCACTTGCAAGCGTTGTAGTGAAGATGCAGAAACATTGCAGTCACACAAATACAATTATTGTGTAGATAAACATTTCAGGAGCTGTCTCTTCAATTCAGTTATTAAAATTAGGCATCTTGCCAGATTTCCTTCTGTAGTCGCTCAAGAGAAGTAGATTACATCCAAGAAAAAGTATTCTATTGATTCTTAGACACCTTGAGCAGCATGAACCACCTTCCAAAGACGCCAGCTTGTTTTTTCTGTTGAAGCCAAATAGCTAGCTAAGATTAAATGCCAAACTTGTAGATAAAAGGATACAAAATTAAGTTACCTTCAAACAAGAATGGTAATAGAATGTTCTTTTGATTCCCAAATCACCCAACTGCACATTTTTTATCGTACTGCTGTGATTGTAACTCTTGCATTATTGTTTACTATAGGTTGTGTTAGTTAAAACAGTTCACTGGAAATATGTCTCTTTGCTGTTGGTGCTTGGGAAATAATGAGAATGACACTTAAAAATTTATGTGCTATTTTTGAGAAAATTTAAACTTTCTGAATGTTGTAGCTGACCAGCTGAAAACATAAAAAGACTTGAAAGTAATGAATATAATGAGTAACTTAAAAATAATGAAAAAATCTGGTTACAAATGTAAAACTAAAGCCAGCTCTGTTCTTTATTTTTACATTTCCCAGAAGTACTAAAGGGATACATACATTTATTAAAGATACTGTAAAAACTTCACAGACCAGAGGTCCTTCTAATTATTGATTAAACAAAAAACTTAGGACGTGCTCATAGCAAATGTTATGGCACTTTGTTCCTGTTCGTATAAGTGAGCATCTCCAAGGAAGGTGAACTTGCCATTATTCGCAAAGTAACTTTTATTTTCTCAAAATTTCAGGTGTTCTTGTTGCATATGAAGGTTTACCACTTCATCTTGCATTGTTCCCCAAGCTTTGGACTGAGCTTTGTCAGACTCAGGTAAGAGTCAGTGTACTGGAGAACTAACAGGATGAAAATAAAAGCAAAACACAACAGCTGTAAAACAAATTTTAACCTGTACATCTTAACCAGTGGGTTAACAGTGGCTCAGTCATTCAAAATATTAAATATTAATTCTGTTTTGAATAAAAAATACCCCTACTTGTGTTATCTGACATCTGATAAAACTAAGTGAATGAAGTTTAAAAATGTAGCAAACTGAAGTATGCCCTAGGTACTGCAGAAACTTATGCAGTGTATATGATAGTACAGTTATGCAGTAACATTACATGATGGTAGTAGTCTCCACAGTAGCCTGCTTTCCAGCTTTTTATGTCTTATAATCACAAGTATGATTGAATGAAAATGGAGAGATCTCTAACTCTGAGGTCTTCCTTCTGGAATAGAACATAATGTGATTCTGTGATAACATGCCCACTTTTGCACCTTTGCAAGAGGATGCTGTAGTTGACTCAGGTTAGGAGACTCTGGCTCTTCAATTACATCCCGGTCGTGATAAACCTGCATTCCTTCAGAATAAACTTCATAAAGGGAAAACGTGAAATAATTGACAGCACTTAATTTGTACAGTTTAGTCATAGCTGATCAAAATGCTTTTATCAGTGAGATTCCTCCTGTATGAATTAAAAACATAACCAAGCCCACAGATATTTCTCCGCCTAAACTACTGAAAATTGTGCTGCTGCAGTGATTTACTTTCAGTAATGGCTTGAAGTGTGCTTTCTTTCTTTACCAGTCTGCAATGTCAAAGAACAGCGTAAAGCTCCTCTGTGAAGATCCAGTTTTTGCAGAATATATAAAATGTATTTTAATGGATGAAAGGACCTTTCTTAACAACAACATTGTGTACACCTTTTTGACGCATTTTCTTCTGAAGGTGAGTGATCTTTTATTGGAAGTTCCAAGAATTGTAGTCTGGTGTATGTTCTTTCAGCTTAAGATACTGTTTTCACAGTTCCATTTTTTGTGGTTTAAAAGAATCTGTTATTTTACAGGTCCAAGGGCAGGTGTTTTCTGAAGCAAACTGTGCCAATTTAATCAATACTCTAATTACAAATCTAATAAATCAGTATCAAAGCCTAGAATCTGATTTCAGCAGCCAGAGAGTTGAAATCTCCAAAGCAAGCTCTGCTTTAAATGGGGTGAGTCTTTTCTAAGCCATTCAATAATCAGCATCATTAAGAGGCAGCTTACTTTTGTGGAAGCTCTTCAGCACCGTTTGTCAGCTTCTAAAGAGATAGGTATGGTTAGCTGAGTTGTCTGGCTGGACGAGTTAATTAACGCATGCAAGATAAGCGTGCATGCATTGTTTCAGTGTGCACAGAGTGCATGCTTGAGTCTCCAAGCAGATGGTGGGTATCATAAGACTTGAAAGGTGGGCTAATAGCAGGAAAAAGAGCAACACGAAGTGCAGGAATCACTGCTATGTTTTAACCCAGCAGTGCTTACTGTGGGCAGTGCAGGACAGATATGGGTTCAGGTCAGCGTGTTAGCAGTGGCTAAGAAATTTTAGTGGCGTGAGTATATTCACAATTTGATCTTTCGGATGTTCAAACATCTTGAAGCCTCTACTTACAGTCTCTGTGTAGCTTTAATCAAAAGAGTTTGAAATAAGGCTGATTAAGGTTGTTTGTTTATTTTTTTAGGACCTCCGAGCACTTGCCTTGCTGCTTTCAGTGCATACTCCTAAACAGCTCAATTCAGCCCTGATTCCGACTTTACAAGAACTTTTAAACAAGTGTAGAGCATGTCAACAACAGAGGAATTCACTACAAGAACAAGAAGCCAAAGAAAGAAAAATTAAAGGTTTGCCTTCTGTAATGTTTTCAGTCAAACAATGCTCTGATTTTGCAAAGTTTTACAAAATTAACATAACACGTGGCTTTCTTACCACAGAAATCAAGCCATTTCTTGGTTCCCGTCCTTTACACTACACAAGATATTCTGTATTATTATGGGGCTAAGACAGTTACATGAATTGTTGTTAAGGAAATAGGTATTTGTTGAAATATACTGTGTTTAATACAGAAAAGTAAAAAAAAAAAAAAAAAAAAAAAAAAGTGAAAGGAATGTCCTGCTGCTTGGGTGTATGGTGTGAAAGCAATGTTTCCTTTATAGAGTTTTCTTTTTTTCCTTACAGATGATGAAGAAGCTACTCCTGTAAAAAGAAGACGGGTCAGCAGTGATGAGGAGCACACCGTAGACAGTTGTATCAGTGATATAAAAACTGAACCCCAGGAAGCATTGACCCCAACAAGCACTTCAGATAATGAGACACGGGACTCTTCGATCATTGATCCAGGCACTGAACAAGATCTTCCTTCCCCTGAAAATAATTCTGTCAAAGAGTACAGAATGGAAGTTCCATCTTCATTTTCAGAAGACATAATGCTGACAATGAGGTCACAACATACAGAAGAGCAGTCAGGAAACGGTAAATTTCAAGAATGCAAAGAATTTAAAGACCTGCAGACTTCCAAGGATTCCGCTGTAGCAGAGGAGGACTCAGAGTTTCCATCCACATCGATTTCAGCAGTTTTATCTGACCTCGCAGATTTGAGAGGCTGTGATAGTCAAGCCTTATCATCCCAGGACCCTGAAACTAGTTTATCAATCACTTGTGGCCATTCCAGAGGACTTTTTAGTCTTATGCAGCAGCATGACATTTTAGACATCCTGTGTAGGACCATTGAGTCTACAATTCATGTGGTTACAAGGATATCTGGAAAAGGAAATCAAGCTGCTTCTTGACATTAGATGAAGCATGTCTGCTTCTAAGTCTTTTTTTTCCTTCCCTCCCCCAAAAATGCTGTTGCCTAAGTTTTGCTTATTTCTGTTCTGTGCTTCAGTTTGTCCAGTGCTCTCTGCTTGAATGGCAAGATAGACTTATATGCTTAATTCTTGGTCAGGCAGATCTCCAGTTTTACTTTTTGTTTGTTTTTGGATTTCTTTTTTGCATCTACCATACACTTTCTTAAAGGGCAATCAGATAATGGATATGTTTTATGTAATTAAAAATTCACTGTAGTGGCTTTCATTTAATATGGCTGTCTGGGAGAACAGGGCCTCCTTGCCCTGTATGATGTAATTTAAACTTATGGCATTTTTACTGTGTATAATATGGTGTCCTCTGTGCCAGTTTTGTACCTTATAATAGAGGCAGATTGCCTCAGATCGCTGTGGTTCTTATTATCAAAATTAAGTTTACTTGTATACTAAACAACCACAAGAAATTTGATTCTGTAAAGAATCCTCTTTAGCTGTGGCCTGGCAGTATATATATGGTGCTTTATTTAACAGAATACCTGTGGAGGAAATAAAGCACACTTGATGTAAAAATAATTGTTTTATTTTTATTGACATGATCAATTGCTATTCTGTGCACTTCATTAAACTGATTGTGATGACTTTTCATTTGTTTATATATGTTATTGCTTCACTCTTTGGATTTCTCATCAAAGATAACATAAAAACTAAAACAACTGCAGAGTATGCTAAGCAATTTCTATAAATTTTAGGGTTCTTTTGTTTACTATGCATGAATCACAGTTGAGAAAGATTTGTTGTTTACTTTTTTTCAGCAGCTAAGAACATGATGTGGTGGAAGAAACTAGTCGAACTTTTTTCATTTTGTCCATTTCCAACTTAACCTGTCTGAGGCTACTCCTTCCTTTTTCTCCTATTCCACTTGCTGTCTTCCTTTGACCTTCTATGCATGCTGCCTTGAGGCATGCTCTCTCGCTTTCTCAGAACCTTCTCTGCTTGCTCAAATGCAGGACTGACTTCACCATCTATTTTGTTCCATTTCCTCATGTTATTTCTAAGTAATATGCATTTCCTAGTTACCTTCTGGATTGTCAGTGATTCTGATTTTGACATCTAATTAAAATCCGTTTTCACATTGATCTTCCAGTAGCTTAGTTCATTTGGGTTTTTGTCTTCATAACACATCTGTATTTTTTCTTCTGTCCTCCTTAATTCTGTCTACCATTTAATGTAGTTCAGCATCATTTTCATGTCTGCAATTTTATTGTGTGGTGCTTTTGTTTGTCTCTTCATCTCTTAGTCACTTTTAAAAAAAAAGTTCTTTGGTCAAGCATTTCTGTCTCAAGGTTTATGCTCCATAACCCCTTTCATTCGCACTTTTATTCTTGCATTAGAAACCCTGCTGAGGGCTTAAGTTTGCCATGTCATTTTTCAATCGTGTAATTACATTTTTTGTTCTCTTTGGAAAAAAACTTTATTACCCCTTCTGATCAGCTTCTGTGTAGATTGTATAAATTTAGAGAAATCAACAGCTTCTACTTAAAACTTGTACATTAATGAATATCAGAACTGATCTGTCGAGTTTTCTACCACACATAGGAATTTGTGGATGGGTTAAGACGTTTGGGAAGACACCTCTCAGTTTAAAATCTGCAGTAGATAAAGAAGGCATTAGCCCCTCAGTAAGTAGTCTTATTAATTACTCTTACTAAAAATACACGTCTGATTTTTGTTAGACTTAAGCTTCTGGCTAGCAGATCAGTGGCCTTTGGCTTCTTGTACATGACTAAATCATACTGTAATTGTCACTGAAGAGTTACAGTTCTGTCCTGTGACAATGGTTATGAGGTTCAGCAAAGCCAAGTGCAAGGTCTTGCACCTGGGTCGCAACAATCCCTCACTACCCATACAAGCTGGGGGACAGAAAGATAACAGCATGGCCCTGCCAAAAAGAACTCGGAGAATGCTTTGCCCAGACCTGATAGCAGCCTTTCAGTATCTGAATGGGGCTGAAAGAAAGTAGGGACAGACTCTTAGGTAGGGTCTGTTGTGACAGGACAAGGGGAAATGGTTTCAACCTAAAAGAGGGAAGATGTAGGTTGGGCAGGAAAAGTTTTTTTTTTTACAATAAGGGCAGTGAGGCACAGATTGCCTAGATGTGGTGGATGCTCTCTGTGGAGATATTCAAGGTCAGGCTGGAATGGGGCTCTGAGCACCTGCTGGGAGCTGTAGATGTCCCAGTTCATTGCAGGGCAAATGGGCTGGATGACCTTCTAATTCAAATGATTCTGTGATTCCATGAAAACCTTTTATTTATTTTTTTAATGTAAGGACAGTCAACCAGGTACTCTGGGGAGGAGAAAGGAGAGGCAATCATTGCCCATTTCTAAGGAAGCTTAAACATATCATCAAACTGACAGCTACAGTTGTCAGCTGAGAGAACAAGGATTCTGAAAAGTGTTGAGTTCACTGCACGTTTTACTAGAGGAAATGAGGGCTGGCTGGAGCTGTTCCTCCTTCTACACTGTTGGAACAGCAAACCTTTTCTGGGGTGTTTGTCCCACACTACAAATGAGCGGTGCAACGCTGGAGCACACGTCAGTCTTTTTCTTTAAACACTGCTATTTGTTCAGATGATGCCTTGTTCCACTAGCAGTAGTAGCCAAGAAATTCAGGCTAGCAAAACATGCGAGTAGTGGTGAGCACTTGTGATCGTAAAACTGAAATTCTTCCTTTAGTCAGCAGGGAAAAGTCACGCTTTCCAGGAAAGCACTGGGTCTGTAAGATACGATGCTTGGAAAGACCTATAATTATTATTTTTTCCTTCTAGTAACTAAGACTTCTGTATCTAAGAGTAGTTGGCACATCCAAAATACAACAAAATCTCTTTGCTGGTCTACACCCAAAACTGGTTAGCCTAATCTCAGTTTAGTACTTTCATATTTAAACCTAGATTTTCTATATTTACCAGGTTTTCTATACTTACTGCCTCTTCATCAACCAATACTTGGTCTGGCAACCATTTCTGTATTAAAAATGTAAGTTCTTTTGCTTGAATATCTAGGAATAAAAGAGTACCTAGACTTTAAGCATTTAGAAAAAAATAAACCCAGTCTGCTAAAACAGCATTTCTTGAGAGGTTGTTCTCTCTCTATGGACAGAAGGAAACAGGAGTGTGACAGCTCGGTTAACAGAATTTGTACTTTTATCCTGTTGATGTTAGGTGTCTGTGCTTGTTAAAACAGACCTCACAGAAGTGCAAAGGGGATAACCAACTGCAAACTCGTAATGGAAAGCTGCTCCTGGAGGAGAAAAGCAACACCCCTTCTGCTTAATCTTCTGCATTAAGTTTGTTGATGAAATTGCTGTATGTTGTCATACTGTAAGATAAAGTATATAGGACTTATCTGACAAACTAACCAGTTTGTATAGAAATTAGTGGAGAAAACAAATTTCATGCAAAAGTATTTTATTAATCAGCAGTGTTTTCCCCAGGCAACTCAGCTATTCTTGGTAAATTTGTTTCAAACTGCATACTTGACTCATTTGAGAGTTAAGTTATCCTTGCAAACCTCAATGTGGTTATAAGTAGGATATTGAAACAATTGTTTATCTTATCAAATTTTATCTAGCACTTTTTTGCTTTATTTTGAGCTACAGAATTGTGAAGGGCCAGAAAGATTTACAGAACTGCAAGAAAGCATTATTTTGGAAGAAATGAACAGTAATAAATTTCACAATAAGGTTAAGTAAGGCAGTAGGGTGCATGCAGAAGACTTCACAAGTGGTAAGCATTGTACCATCCAGAATAACGTAACATTTTTAATTATCTTTCCCTAAAACTTTCTACAGCATTAGAAACAATGGGCCTGCAGTTAAGCAAGGTTCAAAAACATACACAAGGAGGCTGTAACGTTCCCCACATTTCTTTATCATCCCTTTTATAATCTTCCAGTTGAACTCTCATGAACATCCCCTTTTCTAACATGACAGTTTTGCCACTTGATACACTGAATATTAAAGAATGGCAAAAGCTTTCTACTAATTAATGTAGCTTTCCTACCTCTGGTGGCACTACTATACTGTGTCTAAATCATAGTTTCTCTCTCAAGTGAAGCTGTACTAAGTAAACAAATGATTTTCCCAAGTAAAGCTGTTTCCATACATAGTCTAACTTACAGGCCACCTCACTCATTAAAAAAACATAAATAAAGCTTAAAATATACAGTATCATAGAAGTGGGTCTTTATTCTTGCCACAAATAATTTATTTTTTTTAATGTTAACAATGTATAAAAAAGTAATGCCCTAACTAAACTACAATGCTGTTATCAGTCCATGTTGTCTCTGGATTGCTGTAGTAAATTATGTATCTCTTCAAAATACTGCTTCTTCCACCATTGTCTTGTACTATCTTCATTAGAGACAGGAACTCCTTTGCACTCTACCTGCAGTTCTGTTTCAGCAGCCATATCCTTGAAATTCAGGGCAACTGTTGCATAATGCTCTGAAGGAAGAAAAGGTGACATTTCAATAAAGTGTTTTTCAAAAGGTTAAATATACAGCAGCTAACTTGGTATCTACTCTTGCTTGCGGGTGCAGCCCGTTTTCATGGATGTCAACTTCAAAGAACATCCTGCTATTATCCAAAATAGCTTCCAGTCAGCAATCCAAGTAACAGTCACACTGTTTTTCTTCCTCCAGGCAAAGTGCAGCCTCTATTAGAGGCCCTCAGAACGACTCACCATCAGGCCAGTTTCTACACCTCCACTTCAAGACAAGTCTTTGACCTGGGACCTGTACAAAGATAAGAAGATTCCTCCCATTAACACATTTGCTTTCTGGATAATTCACATTCCAACTACTGAATGCTAACTCTCCCCCAAGAGTAAGGAGAAGAGGATTATCTTAACATACAAGTAGATAGAGCAACACAAACAACAGAAGATTGCTTTTAGGCTGAATGTTTTTAAATAAACTTTTCATTAAACGTTTAGCTTGCTACTATAACACTGTTTTGTTATTTCCATGAAAAAAAAGGTTATGCTGATCAGTTATTGATAAGAAATACTAATCTTATTGCAGTATAATGAAAGCAAGTAATGTTTTCACACCGGTACTGTATGGTAGCTTAATCCACCCAGACTGCAGGGAGTAAGATACCAAGTCTAACCTCAGCAACTGTGTAAATGGCTTCCAGAAGTTTCAAGAAAAAAAGCTGAGCTCTGAACATAATTTTTTTCTTGAGTACCTCTTGTAACAGCACTCAGCTGGGAGCAGTGACACATTTGTCTGGAATAGGAGTTTAAACTGCTTTACAGCTCCTCAATAAAAATGATGGTGCTCAAAGTTTTCTCTGCCAGTGAAGGTCATTAGTAATTGATGCCTGCTCTTTTGATGGGGAATCATACAATTATTAAGGTTGGAGAAGGTCACTAAGATAATCTAGTCCCAATCACCAAAGAACATCACATAACAGCAGTCATTTTTGCTTTGTTGTACCGGAATTGAATATGCATTGGAGAAGCACAAATTTTAAGTCTGACACCAACACCCCATTTTTCAAGTGAAAAATAGAAGCTTTCTTACCAGTTCTGTGTATTCACCACTGATGCAACCATCAAACATTAGGAGTTTCCCTCCCTTC